TAACCAAAATGCCATTTTCAAAATGGAGGTAAAAGGTCCATTTTGTAATATGGCGTTTTGGACCTATTCAACACTTGAATTATTGGATTTGGGTTACTGTAAACTCTTCAAGCAACGTGAATTCTGCCCCAAAATGGCGTTTTGGGCCTGAATATTGCAATATTTCCGTTTACCAGACGCACCCTAAACTAACGTTACCAACTTTTCACAAAACTTTCTTGCTGCTACTACCGGTACGTAGTATTTCGTTTTCATATCTCAAAATTTTAGCGAGTACTAGTATAGACGTAGAATCGAGAGATCATATTGTGCTTTCAAGCTAAATTTGGAATTTTCGGTAGATTCGTCGAATGACGACGTCAAATCCGCCTGAAATCTCGAGACTTACAGTTAATACTACCGGTAGTATACTCACTGTGACTCCTGTCCGATACAATGTTGAACTCCTTGTGAAATGGAGAAGCTTGGCAATGCACCAGATACGCCTGCAACTTGATTAGTCGAAAGGTTACTTTTCGAAAATTTCATTGGCTACTTCGGTCCGTCGATTACTCCGTCGATTTTGCTTCGTCGATTCGATTGGCGGCCCCAGTCCATTTTGAAATCGAATTACCAATACCGTGGTGAAGAAATTTTACGTCTCTGATTGAAAATTGGTAAAGAGTTGGTTACAGACAACGAGGGAATTTAAGACTCATCGAAGTTTTGAGTGTCACACACTTTTTTCAGCCAATCAGCAGCAAATCAGGAAATACTTAAATTTCTTTAGTGAATTTTTATACTACCGGTAGAACCGCTTGGTTTAATGTCTATTTCTTACAGTTACAGACGACGAGGGAATTTATAGTTAAGGCTCATCAAGTTCAGTGTGTAGCGCAAATTTCAGTATATGATTGGATAGCGTAGTTCGAAATTCGAAACATATTACTACTCTGGTTCGAAATAGTTGTTAGGTTCAACTTCCTGATGCGATTGGTGTATTAGAAAGTGCAAGATCTCAGCTTTGATTTGGCTAGTTTATGGGCTTTCTGGAACGTTTTGGTTGCTAAAATACTGCGCGCGAAAGTTGACATCTGACGCAAATAAGAGGCCTCAATACATGGGCTCAAAGCATTTGACATCGACTTAACACTACTCGCTCACAGTACTACATCTCCCAATGCTACCACACGACACCGAAGTCTCCCGCTCCCCTTCTCCTGCATCAAATGGGTTCATTGTCCAAGTCTCCAAGCAGTTTGGTTGGCACCCTCTCACAGTATCATGCCTGTGGAGGTAAGGACAGCTATCACTTCGCCACGGCCGCCTTTCGGCCGATGTCGCGTCCAAAATCAGAGGTAAAACTTCTGACATATTATTCTTGTATGCAATGCGACGAGTATGTATTTCTAAAGGAATACTAAATTAGGCAATTCTGGTCGAAAAGAGAAGCGACCGAATGAAGATATTGAAGCTGCAATTCGACAAGTCCCCCAAGCGTCACGACAAACTCTACGGCTGTTGGCGCATCAGAGCATGATCCCCCGAATCACAATCATGCGGCATATGAAGGAAACACGAGGTTTAAGGCGCGTTCCAGTTATGTGAAGCCATTCCTTACACCTGCGAACACCCAAGCCCGCCTGGACCTTTTCTTCGACCTTTGTCAAAAGAGCAGTAATGATTCTTTGTTAAGCTAATCATGACCATGTACTGTAGTGGTGGCGTTATCCTCAAGTACATTCCACAATGGCGCTCCATATTCGTCTCCAGCCTTCAGTCCGCGCCAGCTTTGAATCTGGACAAAACAATCGCGACCCTCAGCGAGCACGCCACGGCATTTGTAAGGAGTTTAATCTTCTCTGGCCACCTGAAGGAATTTGTGTCCCATGGCCCGGCAGCCGTTGCAACGTCGTGCGTGATTAGCGTCACCGTCGGCGACAAGAAGGCAGATATCGACATGCTGGTGGCAACGTTTGACCGAAAGACGTGCGGATGTTCTCTCGATGCCCGCCGACTGGTAAACATATTGTCTGAGTATTACTCAACAAGTACATCGAGTGCCGCGAGGTCCGCTACAGATGTCACAGAAGTTGCAGTAGCTCCAATGTCCGAAGACATCATGGTATGTGGTGCTAGTGACGCTACGTCGAATCGCAAGCGAAAGCGTGGCGGAGATTATGACATGTTGGACGAGCGTGCTAAGTTGGCCACAGTAACGACCAACGACCAAAAAATAGTATGTTTGCGCGGGATTCAAAGCATTGCTTGCAAAACATCGACAATAGAGTACACCAACAGCTTCCGAACGTTCTATTGTCAGTCCGTGAAACCAGTGCTTGCCTGCGTTAAAGATTACTGCGGCGGAAGTATTGAAGAGTTCACACATTGGTGGGGACACGGTGTCAGGCTCAACCGTTTCAGTACACTCAAGTGCTGGGGCGTCGCGAAGTGCAGCTGGTCATGCAACGGATTGACGACATAGCTACCACCCAGCAAGAGTCTGTAAGTATGCATTGAATTTGCTCGGAGCTGTTTGGCTAATTTTTGTATATTGCGTAATAATTTTTGTATCAACGCATTCTTCATCTGGAGTTCCCATTTTGTTATCGGTAGAACATGTTGTCGCAGCTGCTACCGCTGTCATGCTCAAGTCGAATGAGCTTTCGACTATGGGGTTTCGATTTGGCCATGACGAAGAAGTAGGGAAAACATGGCGCCTGTACTGTACATCAACATTAAACGTCCAGGTACGTCATCGTGCGGTTCCAGGCGTCCAAGGCGACGATGGGGTTCTTCCCAGGTTAGGCCTTGATTTGAAAAGTGCAAATCGAAGTTATATCTGCTATTCTCGAGTCCGAATTGCACAAGTCACTGGTCATCATGAACAACTTTTGATCACTAATGACACAGCGAGGACATGCACCGGAGAGCAATCGTACATGGATGTACGTATAGTGTCATACGTTGAAAACCACGCCATCTTTTTGTTTCATTGCGTAGTACGCTCCGGTGGCGTGTACTACTCGATGGAATTCACAGCGAAGTGTCTTAGTTCACTTCAGCATCACATGTAATTCTTATTGCTCAGAATTATTTGGCATTTAGAGCATCTCCACCGCGGCGGCAGTATATTTTGCACTAAAATTAAACTTCGGTTTTCCCGGACAGCATTTGTTGTGTCCGGAACAATTTCGGATAAATGTACGTTATCCGGGAAATTTGGTGTTTACGTTTACTGTCGACCGTAAAACGAGAAAATTTACAGTTGTTAGGGGCTCATCCAAGTACCGTCATACTTTAAACCCAAAATGCGTTCCCAAGTAAAATAGTCGTTGTTTGGTCGTCCTTTGGTCGTGTTTTAAATATGAACATGACGTGAACTTGATTGGCTGATGCCATATTCATCGTGTGTGGCTCGTCATTTTTTGTCGTTATTTGCACACATATTTCGCAATGATTGGTCTAGACGTCCAATCATATGGACCTCCATCACTGTCCCGAGCAGAACATAGTTCAATGGCGGCGAAGGGCAAGATCAAGACACCAACCAAGAAAGAGCTGAGAGAGCGTCTCGCCAAACTCGACGCGGCAAAAAATGTCTGAGCTCGGTGCCCCTTAGAAGCAAGCCGCCCCGAAGACCGTATGGAACGTGGACATGTTTCAAGTCCTGCTCAAGTTACGCCTCCGTACATACGCGTCGCTGTTCTAGGGAACGAAAAGCAACCAACAGCTTTCTATCCTGTGGGAAACGATTGCCATGCGACTCAGCGTGGTGTTGGGGGTGGTTGTTTCTCACCCGTCTGCCAAAACATAATACCACAGTCTCAAGCAAGAGTACTCACGTATTCGAGTGTCCGAGCAAACGACTGGAACCGATGTTGACGCTGCGCACCCACCCCACTGGGAGCACATGGTGGAATACTTTGGAGACAATAGTGGGCTTGGGCATAATGAATTCGGCTCAAGTGCGAATGACGATGAAAGCGACAAGGCTGGCGAAGAATGCGGCGACGTCGAGGCCATGGTGGATACCAAGCGTCCAGTAATGCGTCAAAAGACCTCGTCATCTTCAGTCGCAAGCGGTTTGGTGTCACTGGGCGAAACCCTTGCAAAAGGTTTAGTTGACGCTGCATCTACAGGAAATGCAAGTACGGTCAACCAAAAATGGGATGCTCTATTCAGGTATCAAAGAAGCTTCATGCAGCTTTACTTGAGAATATTGTTAATGGTAGTGCTATCCAGCGCGAGCTCCTCAGCCATCTTCAAGGCATTAACAATCGTCAATAATGTAAAATTGTTTAGGTACCATTTATTTCTTTACACAAGAATATATGTACGATTTCAAAGCGTTTCTTGCATTTCTAGCTAGCTCGCCATCTACTATATTTCTCTGGTTCAATCGGGTGATGTCGCCGCAAATATTCATCCACTCTGCATGGTGCTGAATCTCTTCGTCGGGCTCGTTTTCGTCGCAAACCGTTCGCTCCATGTGAATAATTCAATTATGGAGGACGATTATGCGTGCCATTTCTACTTTTACAGTATTTTATAACGTTGCCGTCGTAGTGTACCTTGGGGTGTGTGATGGTCCAGGGGACTCTTGAATATTCGAAACATGTTCTTGCAGACTCCAAACGCCCTTTCGACAAGGGTCCTGGTGCGGCTGTGAATGTAGTTATAGTGCGCTTCATCGTGAGGCATCCCGTGGCGAATCTCAAATGGCGTCATCATGTGCTGGAATAGTTTGCATCCTGCATCCACGAGAAAGCAGGTTCCCATCGGAATGACCTAACGAGATTAGTTTCCGAACAATTACACCGAAATATAAGCTTACTTTGTGATCGACTTGGCCAAATTGAGACCCCGATCGAATAGAGAACGACATAAATCGCATCTTGTGATCAACAATGCCTACAACCAAGAAATCATTCAAGCGAAAAACTGAATGTTGACCCTTTTCACCTTGGATATTAAACGCGGGAGAGCCTTTGCGGCAATACCATCCTTCGTGGTCTTCGAAATCAAACTACCGTCGATCACGCCAACCACGTTTGGAATGCCCCCAATGAGCTCAAATCCACGCGACACCACCAACCACCCACGTGTCGGTACGCAGAGAAAACCTTGTTGAGAGAGGCCTGGGAGTGGGGGTACTAACGGCTAGTTGGACGGCAGCTAGAACCGCCGCGATGGTAACAACATGCTCGACTGTCATGCTGAAATGTGTGAACGAAATCAACACCAATAATTACTTGGAACGCGCTATTGGCCCAATCACGATCAAAACATGACTCGCCGTCGTACTTCGAAAAACAGATTTCAAAGTACGACGGAAATGATTCTGATTGGCTCCGTTCGTTTTTGAAAGTTACTTGGAAGTGCCCCTTAGTGTCGCTCCAAACCAAATACTAGTACTAAAGTGGTGGAAAAAGGTATAGGACATATTACATTTTTCAGCTATGACGTCACTGATTTGCCAGAACATGGAAGTATTTCAGCCAATAATAATCCATTGACAGTAGTCGACAGCCCTGAGGGGGCATTTGACCATAACTTTTGCTGCACGAACGCAGTATAAAAAAGTGAAAAGCAAAAATATAGCGCTGCGAATAAGCTAAAAATGTGTCAAGAAAATAGACCTTTAAACCTTATGCACCCACAGATACGATGCTTGGAATTTCAAAAACCTGTCTAATTTCACCCTATTGCCTAATATACTCTGACATGTAATACCAACTGTGACAATACAGGCGAAAAATTTACCCATTACACACGCACACGAACACTGGCTCTGATTCTCGACACCAGCCTCACAAACCAACTATGCCTAGTGAGCCAACCCAACCAAGCGACGTAGACCGCGCCATTGCGTTCGTGAAGCGCTCACGGTCAAGATACGTGACACAAAACGAGATCCTCGACATGATCATAGTCAACGTCACTCTGCGCCAAGACAATGCAACCGCGTCCACTCGCACCACCGCCCGACTCTTGCGCCGCAATCCACAGCTGGTCCAACAAGTGTGGAAAGAGTTCGTCGAAAAGGGCTCCACCACGACCAAGCCCCAAGCCCCCCGCGACATGTCTCTCCGAACAAGACTCCCCGTCACGTCGGACCAATTCGATACAGAGTCGCAATCGTCAACGCAAGCTGCCTACCGGTCAACCCAGAGGGTCCTGGCAAAACTTGGGTACAAGAGGGGAAAGAAGAAGCGAGGTCTAGGCCTTCGCATGTGCGAAGCTAATATTCAGCATCGTGATATATATGTTTCTGATATGTGTGATATATTGTCGGGCGATGTCAACCGACGGCCTGTTATATATATGGATGAGAGTTATATTCATCACCATTATAGTCGGCATGATGATTCAT